GCTCCCATGGCAAACAAGTCAACCTTCAGCAGAGCAGAATTTATTTTATCTGCATCCAGATACTAGAAAAAATAAATACCAGCCTCCAATGCTGCCGGTTATTTATCCACGAGGTTAAACTCATTGTACTTAAAGTGAAATGTGGATGTTGCATAAGAGAAACAAAGAGGATTTTTAATGCATTTTTAAGATCATGGAGAAAGCTGAAAGTTATAGACACCTTCCAAAAAGAGAGGAAGCCATAAAAGCTCAGCACATTAATGGAAAGTTGAGTGGAAGGAAGAAAAATGTGCACAAACAAGAACATTTAATTTCTCTGAAAATTTACAATTATGATGGGAAAGACTGAAGACTTAGCAGTTATCCAGGATACAGGGTAAACCAAAAAAATTTATTACTAAGGAAGCTGACTGCAAAGATATTAAGGGAAAGTTTAGTGGAAGGAAAAACGGTGCCACTCTGTAGAAATTAGAATATTAAAACCAATAAAAAAAGGTATTTTGTCCATCAGACAATACTCGTCTTACAGTTTAAGAAAATAAGACACCAGAGGCAGATGCTAAAGAGGCTAGGTAGTTTGTGTTATATTCAGATGTATTGATGGAAAGTTTAGTGGAGGGGAAAACTGTGCCACTCTCTAGAAACTTTAAATTTCACTTGTGACCATCTCTGGCTTCCTCTGTAACTATCTACATTTACAGTGCTGTTTTTAATGTAAAAATGTCCATAGGCATGAGTCCCCTAAAAAGTTTTTTATTCCTGTATTTTTCAGGGAAGGTTTTCTGTTTCAGAGCTCAGAAGAAAATATTGAACTCTGCTTGATGAGAGGAATCCTGAAGAACATCAACTATTATTGAGCAAAACCAGGTCGGTATTTCTCTGCAGCTCACCGTGAGCGAATCTGAAAGCCTGGAAATACAAAATAAATCTTCTGTGAAACTCAGACCGACTTTAACAAGAATTTATTCCCCGCAGAAATCAGATAAACTCGGTTTCCCCACAGCCTTTCAATATTTCCTCTGGTGTACATCAGTGTGCTTATCCAATGATAAAAATGCACTTTTTTATCTTTTAAATTTAACTTTTATTTATTTACACAGAATGCAAGTTTGTGTTTTTCAGTGTTTAAATTATTGTCAGCATTAATTTAACTCATGTGAAGGTTGTAAACTTTTGAACTTTCATTTCTAAGTTAAAGAACTTAATTACCAATATTGCAAATGAAATTATTTTCTGCTTTATCGTGCAACCAAACAAACAATCCAAACAATCTGTTCTAATCTGACAGAAAAGAAAGAGGAAAAAAGAAGGAAGAAAATGGGGGGAAAAGAAGGAAAAAATTTTTTTAGCAAAATATTTATTTGTATAATAATTTAACAAGACACTATTAAATACATAATCGGGACATACTTAATAAATAAATAATTATTTAGGAAAAAGAAAAAATTGAAATAGTAGGAAGAGGAAAAAAGGAATAAAACTGGAAAAAATGAGGGAAAATGGAAGGAAAAAGAAATAAGGGAAAAATGAAAAGGAGAAAATGGGGAAAATGGAAAAACCGAAGGAAGAGAAGACAAGAGAAGGAAAAAAGGCAGAAAAGGAAAATGGGGAAAAAGAAGTAAAAAGAAAAAAGGGAAAATGGAAGGAAAAAGAAAAACGGGGACAAATAAAAAAGAAAATAGTAAAATATGGGTTGGGGAGCCATTTTACACATTTTTAATATAAAATAATCAATCGAGCTTATTTGTCCAGCAGACTTCAGCAACAATTCAAAATGCCTTCCATCATAAAATCACAGAAATTCTCCTGGACGTTCAAGCCGACCTGCGCGGCGCTTCGGTGTTTTCCTCCCTGCAGAGACACGGCTAAATGTGTTCCAGAGAGATTATGTCGATCCTAATTTAATTCCCTGAGATGGAAACGTCTCTGGAGAGACGTGAGGGGGCATCTACAGTATTATTTAACCTGCTGAATTAAAGCGTACTATGTACCCAATTATTCAACAAATGCATTTAGAGATGAGCCAAACAGGATTTGAAATCAGCCCTTTGGTTTCATTAACGTGTAAAGACTCTGGGGTTTGCTAAAAACAGAAGTAAGTGAGAAGGAAATGAAGTGGAAACGATGCTTAAAGCCAGACGCTAATGGCTGGGATTTATCTCCAGCCTCCTCAGGACTGTATTAAACTCTGCAAACAGAGGGATTATGTTCATGCTAGCAAGCCAGAGCCATTCTTTCTCATCTTACACTGCAAAACATTAAAGTATTAAACTAATCTGTTTGCATGGAGTAAATATTAAGGTTTCAGATTTGTAATTTTCACTTATCTTTTTACATGGAAACACTTCAGTTTTAAAGACAGGCTGCCGAAATGTTTGTTGTTCAACACAGAAAATGGTTGAAATGAGTGAAAAAGCAACAAGACAAAATAGAATATTCAGAAAGTTTGGAAAACCAGTTTTAAAATCTCAAGAAATTAGGGTTGACTCAAGACTTTTACTGTGTATTTATGAAAATAAAATAATTTAACCATAGTTTAATTACCTCCATTTTTCTTCCAATCTAATCCAAACAGTTTAGTTTTTGCTGATGAAAAGGAAGATGGTGTTTATTTTTGGGAATATTGTGTTTTGTCTCCCTGAGGTGTTTTGTATGTCTAAAACAATCAGTTTTGGCCTCATTTGGCTTCTTTATTCTTTACCACTCATCTGTAAATGGCAGATTTTTGGAGTTGTCATTTCATCATGTTTCCTCCCATTCGTCCAGATGAGTTCATCCAGTTTAGGTCAAATCTCATTTCCTGGACGCAGAAATCCTGCAGACCTCTCATAGAAGTGTTTGTTTTACTTCATATTGGGTTACAAGGCTCTAACATGATCTCTGACATCTAAAATGAGACCAAGAGACACTCAGATAAATGAAAAACTGTTGGGAACTCAGCAGTCCGGCTCTCCGAGGTGAGCCGAGTTTCCTGCCAGCCCTCCCACAGCGAGAGGAGCCTTTCTGCCTCACAGAGGTTTTTATTTTTAACCGTCACAGCAGCAGGAGCTCAGGTTTTGTCAGTGGTGAGAATAGGACCTTGTTAGCCATTTGATATTTCCCATAAAAGCAAATGCGGCTTGGAAGAAATGCAGGGATTTGATTCCAGCAGCCACTTTTTAGGGAGCAGAAACCAGAATCTGTTACCGTGAAATCATATATTGATGCCTTAATGGGGCAGTATTATGTACAGTTTACTTCTTTGAGCTTTGCATCATATCATAATGTAAAAAAAAAAAAAAAACTGGAGAATTGCTTTGATTCTTTCATGCTTGTTTGAGAACTCATTTAATCTGCATGGCAACCATTCAGCTGTACAAAACGCCTGGTTGGACCTAGCTCCGCCTTCGAGACGCAGCTCCTCCTCAGAGATGCAGTTTCTAAGCCATAACGTCCAAACTCATCTCCTTCAAACTAGCCAGCAGCAATTAGCAAACACCTGGTGGAACTGCTGAGTTCATTTAATGAGCTACTTCTCTGTGAAACGCTGGTAAAAATGATGTTAAAAGAGGCAGAGTTTCAGGAAGAGCAGGAGCTTCTTACAGAGACAGAGGCCCAATTTCAAGGCGTTAATTTACAAGGTAAATTTTCTTTTAAGTTAAATTTTATACATAGCATTTTTATAACAACTGAAGGTAACTTAGTCACTTAATTGTGCTATAAAATGGAACTTTGTGTCTGGAGAACACATAATACTGCCCCTTTAAGAGGTTCAGTTCATTTAATTACATCTGTTTTATTAATTGTAACAGCTGGGATATTAAATAACAGCTATCAGCTCGTAATTCAGTAATAGGATTACTAAACATAGACTATCATGTCTCATAAATCCTCAGCTGTGCAGATGAGTCTGATTTACTATAGAAACAAAGGATGTTGCTGACATGCAGTTTGGAGTCTGCAACTTTCTTCATTCCTGCAGTAGTGATGGTCAAAGCTTTTAACATTATTTTATTTTTTTTTTCTGTTTGTGGTTCTCACAATGATTAAAGTGTTGCTGCTTTAACTGTGTCGCCTTATTTATGACGGTAAGGAGTTTGTGTCTGAGTGCTGTTCGTTGTTATGGGACGTCCTTGGTTTCCTGCCATGTGCAGAGGCAGACGGTAAATTTTAGATTGTTCCCTGCAGTCGGATTGGGAGGCTTGTTCATGGAACAAAAGTCAGCATGTTGTTTTCAAGGATGCAATAGAAGTGTCTCAGTAAACAACGCTTTAAGCTAAATGAACTATCATTTTTCCATATATTCATCCGTCAGCAGATAAGTAAATTTACTACCTTCGTCTGACATTAAATGACACTTAAATATTCCTGTTTTAGTAATGTTTATATTCAGAAAATAACATCCAACTCAACTAAGTCAACATGTCCCCATTCAAAGTCCAAAAGCCAGTCAGAAATGCTAGTTAAAGAAGCTAATATTGCTAACACCATAAGCTAATATAAAATATTTTTCTCACTATTTTGAGGTAAATCTATGGCAACAAGTGTACTAAAAAAATGACTTAATTTCTGCAAAAAATATCTGAGACATTTTTCAGAAAATACAAAGACATTTATGGGTTTCAAAAGTTAAAACATTTGCTAGAAAAATCTCAGAAATTTTGAGATTTAACTCAAAAAACGTGGAATTTTCTTAGTTGCAAAAGTTTACAATTTTAGACTTTTGAACCTCAGAAAACTTACAAAACTCGAAAATAACGGTAATAACGGTACAATTTACAGGACCGTACATTACGGTACACTTTACCGTACTTTACGGTATTTATATTCAGCTGTTCATCCACGTGTATAGTTTATGTAGTGGCAATATTTAACCTTAAAAGACATTTATTCAAAAATAAATCTCAAAAATTGCGTTTTATTTACAACAACACTGTAATGATGATAATTATCTATCTAGAAATTAATTACAGATTACTTTAATTGATTTCTTCCTCTTTAAATCACGGCTCGACGTAACCGCGACCAGGCAAGAAACAGACGGGATTTGCGTGTGCGCATGCGCCGTGAAGTAAAAACAAGGAAGTTTTTCCCTCAATGGAAACACAGTGGATGGGACAGAACTTATCAACAGAGTGAGGCTAATTGGGTTTGTTCTGCCTCATGTAAAGGTAAGAGAGTCAGCGGCGGAACTAGAGGAGCCGTGTTCGTCTATTTTTGTACTTCGTTTTTTTCTCCCAGCATAACTTGTTGGAGGCTAATGCTTGAGCTAATTAGGCAGCTAAAACGCTAAACTCAACCAAGAGCCTTTTAATTGAGCGAATATCCCTTCATAAATTAGCTAAGCGTTTTAAAAATGCTCCCAATTTAGTATTAGGAGACCCGGACGCCTTTAAAAATATCCTCAGTTTAACGACTGATTAAACTTGTATTAAAAATCTCATCTTATACTAATACGTCCTTTTCAGACGAGTTGCAATTTAAAGCTGCTACTCAGATTTATTAATATAACCAATAACATTTACTTTAGCTTCAGCTCCTACCTGTCAAACCTGCCTTATTCAGTTTTCCTGCTAGTTTTATTGTAATTATTTGAGCAAGAAATAAACTAACTTCACAACAACAGGCTTTAACGATGACATCACAAAAGACACAAGGCAGCTAATCCCCTTATTAGTGGTCTTAGTAAGTTAGAAAAGAATGAACAACTCCGTTTTTGGCATTAAAACTCACAAAGATGTAACTTTGACAACATGCAAACACAAGTTGAGAATATTTTCAATCCATTAGGTATAAACTAGATCCCTGCTCCTCCATTCAGACGAATAAATGGAGTCCTAGATATTTCTGTAGACACCTAGGAGGGTTACTTTTTCTCTCCTGCTTACATCCTGGCCTTTTCCAGGATGTTTTTTTTTAACATTTAATATGTTGCTCATGTCTGGTTTTTTTTTTCTTTTTTAGCAAAGTGTTTTTCAAGGATTTAAGCTCAACAGCTTCAGAAAGTTTTATTATGGCACTTCTTTAACTGCAGTTTCCTTTGCAGCCTTGAAAAGTGTGAATAGTTTGTCTAGTGAAAGTAAACAGTCTTTCATTTTATTTAAACGGCTTCTAGAAGTTTTTATATTTGCCAAAAAGATTAAACTATTAATGTTTCCACACTTCCTCTTCTATCCAGTTATTTTTGGAAGTGAAAAGCTTGAATTTTGTGAAATAATTTCTACAATTGTGTAAACCACCCTAACAAGGTGCATATTTACAAAACAATTAGCAATGAGTTAACTTAGCGTCTCCAACTTGGTTTAAATATGTTTATTAGGGTAAACACTTTACAAACTATTAAAATCCAAACGCATTATTCACCTTTTCAAGTTTTTGGGAACCCAGAGCTTGTTCCAGATTCTCTTCCTTTTTCTTTTTACTTCAATAGAAAATTAGGTTTTTATAGAAACGTGTTTCAATAAGGTTATTTTTAATCTGAAAAAAAAAAAACTTTCGATCTGTTCATATTTAGAGTTTAGATGAATGTTTTAGTTGTCATTGTCTTGTTTTCCTGAGAACCTAAATAAATATGGAAAGCAGTAAATGACTATTTAGATAAGGAATTATTGTTAACTGAATTTCATAATAAAAAAGTTTAAAACATTGAAAAGGAAAATCTGTAAAAACCTCCCTTGTAAATCGATTGCTACGTTCATGTTAAAGCTTTGTTTACTAAGAGTTTGCACCTTTTTTTCACTCAAATTTCTGGAGTTCTCCGTTAAATTTTTTCTGGTTTAAAAAATTAAAGTTTTAAAAGTTAAACTTTAATGAGGTGGATGGTGGAATGCAACCATTAAGCAATGGGAGATAAACCTTTTAAATACAGATCTACTTCCTGATTTATCCACACCTGGAATGTTACTAAACTACTACTAAACTTTTCCAGACTTTATATCGACCTTGTTCACTTGCCAGTTTTCTGTTTGTTTGGATTAATCAGAACTCATATTGAAAGCTGTAAATGATTCGGACTACCAGCCTGCGATTCTCTCCCCAAACAGCTGTTATGCTACGCTAACAGCAGCTGGAAGCAACATGTTGACAGCTGGATTATCCAACAACAAGGTCAAGTATTCCCGACTGGCAGCTGATGACGATGGCTACATCGACCTGCAGGTCAGCGCCTCATCGTTACGTTTTTAATATTTGTATTGATTGATTATGCAGTTAGAATTAGCACTGATCCACTTATTTCCCTTCTGATACCGATATCTGAGGATTAGTGTCGTCTGATACCAAACAGACACAGAAAAACAGCCTTTAATTGACTTAAAACGTCTCTTTTTTCTTTACTTAAATGTATTGAATTACAAATTTATTTGATAACTTCACTAATTTGGTCAAATGTCTAAAAGCAACTTTAATTTATTCAGTCAGTGCAATTAGGAGTATAACAGCCAGTGAAAATAAATAATAAAAAACTGAATGTGACAAAATCAATAAGTTGATACCCGATATATCGGCACTAACATCGATATTGGCTGATATTAGTCATTTTTTAGCATATCGGTATCGGCTCACAAAATAAAACTGAGATTCATTTCCATCTTGTTGCTGTTTTTCCCCGAAGATGTCAAAACGATAAATATATCGATAAATAATGGGTATGTGTAATAAAAGCAATATTAATATCAAATATTGGTATTGGCCAAAATATTGGTATCGGTGCATTCCTAAAATAAATTTCAACAAACTTGTATTAAATGGTTCAGAAAGTGTAATTATAAATTATAAATACAATGTAAAATAAATAACAAAGCACAGAATCAGAACAAATACAGATATTGATGTTGGATATCAACTTTAAGTGTAAAATGTTTAATTGAATTGGTTCCAAATTATGATGATTGGAAATCTTTCTTGTTTTACTGCATAATAAAATTTGCTGTGTTACTAGTTCAAGAAGAGTCCACCAAAGATCCCTTACAAGGCGATTGGCGTGGCAGTAATCTTGTTCCTGATTGGCTCCCTGCTGATCATTTTGGGAGCCCTGTTTCTGGCCGGGATCATCAACGTCGAGGTGAGTTTGAAGTTTCTTCTTCAGAGATTCTGCTCAAGAAATTGAAGTTTTTCACATTTAAAGTTAGGAAATTATGCATTTTTAGCTCTGGTTCAGTTTAGTTTTGTAGCATTTTTATGCCTAAAAATGGTCAAAAATGTTTACTAAAGCAACTATAGTACAAAGAAGAACCACAAAAGACCTTCAGAAATTATTTAAATAAAATTATAATTACATGTACTCATTAAATAAAACATATTAGATGTCTTAAAAAATTATTAAATACAATAATCAAATAGTTAAATGTAAAAATAGTTCATGAAATGTATATAGATTTTACAGAAAACCAAATAATTGTATTTTTTATCATTACAGTCCAGTGATCTGTGCAGGTTGCTGCTTGTAGCAAGGAGGAATATTAAATAACAAAATTTTATTTTAAAACATTTTTATTTAATTTTGCAGTATAATAAATTCAGGTTTAAATACGTAAATATTTAACACATTATTTATTGAATTGTTGCCCTTGTGGCCCTCAATACAACAAAGAAGAGTGAAATAATAAAAATACGCCCTTAATGATATTAAAATATGACAATCCTTAACATATCTATTATCAGATTAAGAAATTATTGAAATATTTTACATTTTATATGAATCTTTATTGGATTGTGACCATCTAGTGAAAGTAAAGAGTATTTTATTTAAACAGCTTTGTGGACTAAATAAAGTAGCAAGTCAGGCAGCCTAAGCTACACATGAACTGTTTTTATAATTTATGCCACTTGGTGCTACAGATATTTTTACCGTATCGTAGCAGGAAAAGCCCAAGTGGAGCAGCACCTGCTGACTTGGTCCCATTACTCGACCCGGTGAGCTGTGAAACCTGAGGATGCTGCAGCCGCCTCACCTGCAGGAAACATGGCTGCTTCCAGTCTGATAATTAGAGCCGTCAAGATGACTGCCACCAGTGACGTCTGCCTCCGTTTTGGACAAACGCTGAAAATAGACACTTCAAAGCTGCAGCTAAAACAACCAAACCTCAGACTGGACAAAGAAAAGCTTCACTGATTGTAACAAAAATGACAGAAATACATTTATATTTCAGGATTTGACTAATATTTAAATTAGACATAAGTTGCTCCTTCAGCTTTTTGCCTCACTCACTCACTCACTCACTCACTCACTCACTCACTCACTCACTCACTCACTCACTCACTCACTCACTCACTCACTCACTCACATAGTAAGTCAGTCACTAACTCATTCAGTTGTTCACAAACTCACTAACTCATTTACTTATACTCAGTAAGTCACTCATTTATTTTCTCACTCTGTAACTCACTCAATTACTGACTCGCTCAGCTACTAACTCTTCTAACTCCCATTCACTCTCTCACTCTGTAACTCATTCAGTTGTTCACTAACTCATCACTCGCAGACTCACTAAGTTACTAACTCACCAACACCTTCACTCATATTTACTCGCTCACACTCACTAAGTAACTTGGTAGCTTGCTAATTCACTCACTACTAACATACTAATGCTCTCACTCACTCACTCACTCACTCACTCACTCACTCACTCAGTAACTTGGTTATTTGCTAATTCACTAGCTGACTCACTAACTTGCTCCAAGTTTTAATTTCTTTAAAAAAGCGAGTAAAGGAAGTTAATCCACCTGCATCAGACTACAGGATTACAGTTAGTTATGCAGCAGTTCTGTTTGGTGAAAAGTTGTCAGAGCTGATTGATGAATGAGTTTGGTTTTATCTTTTTATTTTATTAATCTCAATTGCCGTTTTTGAACAGCCAGGAAAGAGTTTATCTACCAAACGAGGTCAATTTCTTTGTTTTTAGTCAGAAACATTAAAGATGTGGAGTTAAATTTCTGCAGTGCGGCTTTAGTTCTGCACCAACACAGAAAAGCAGATTGTTTTAAAGCCTTGATGCTGCAGTGATGCTGCAGTGCAGCTCTGGAAACCAGCAAGCACGCCGACCTGCACTGACTCGGTGCATGATGCTGCCATCTGGTGGTGGAGTCCAGCGCTGCACCCTGACTGACTCATGGTTTACATAAAAGCAAAGCCTCCTGCTGTGCTTCTGATTCACGTTTACCTCCCTTGCTTTTTCATTTTCACCCTCACTGTTTGATGTTTGTTTATTTTTTTTGTTTTGCTCCCAGAATCCTGACCGCACCATCCCCGTCATCGTCATAGGCCTCCTGGTCTTCCTGCCCGGCTTTTACCACCTCAGGATCGCCTACTACGCCGCCAAGGGTTACCGCGGTTACTCCTACGATGACATCCCGGACTTTGGCGACTGACCCGAGCGAATGTTTCCTCTCTGAATCGAATGTAGCAGAACGAACGGAGCGGTGGAGGCCGACATGATGGAGCTTTGCTGAAATGTTGCAGAAATGTATAACTGTGAGATGTTTCTTCTTTGCTCTGTTTGCTCTTGTTTCTTCTTCGCTTTATTAGCCTCCACGCCGAAGCACGACCGACCTCAGAGACTCCAGCTGCTTTATTAGCAGCAGAGGAAGCTGGCCTGCAAAAACGCGACACAGAAATCATAATGTGTTTCTTATTTACCGTCGCTCCAAGGTGGCTGCAGCTCCATACTCGCATCCTTACTGGTTTTTCTGGGACGGAGTGTTTGCATTATAATCCAAAGTAGATTTTTTATGGTCTAGGTATATTTTTTAAAGTGTTTGTACTCTTGCTCTGTGTTTAGAACGTTTAAAAGCAGTGTTTCCTTTTGTTATGCTGGAGCGACAATAAAGAATGTTTTGACGTTGCTGCAATGAAGCAGAAAATAAAATGTTGGGGTGTTTATTAAATGTTACGTATTTTGAACTTGTCAAAAATGTTAACAAATGTGGTTTATTTAAGGTTTTAATCAAAGCTGCAATAGCATGAGGAGGAAACGGGAGTACATTTCTACCAAAAAGATCTGAGATGTTCTAGAAAAATCAAGTTTGAAAATTGGACAATTTGCTAGAAAAAAATTTTAAGATTAATTTCAGAAATATTTGAGAAAAAAATTTTGGGAATTTTGGAGTTTTTTTTTTTCCTAGAACATTTCTGAGGTTAATTAAAAAAATTATTTCCTTTTTGGCTTTTCAAATTCTGAAAATTTTCTTGATTTTTTTCCAAAAAAGTTTGAAATTATTCTCAGAATATCAGAAATTTCCTCTTTTTTTTATATGTCTATACAATGGCCACATAGTACACTGCTTTACTTGATATTAGCATTGCTAATATTATATTCCCTTATGTAAAATATATATTCTGTCCTAATATTACTAACATGATGTTAAATTATGTTGAAAAGTAATTTGTCAGGGTTTTTTTCTATTAACTTAATTTGGAGTTATTTATAATGCAAAATGTATGTAACATTTTATTTTAATCTTTAAAATACAAATGGATGTTGGTATTTTAATTAAATACCAAGTTAATTAAATTGGTATTTAATTAAGATAGATTAATTAAGGTAGAAAATGTAGAAAAACTTTCTTTCTTGTGTCCGATTGCATAATTTTATATCAGATGTTCTGATCCGTTAATGTTTTTGTCACCTTTTTAACAAAAGCTTTTTCATTCTTAATTATCTGGAGCTACTTTTTACTTTAACTTGATTAAAAATATGTTGAAGTATTATTTTTCATTCACTTTATAGTTAATTTCACACTAAAAATAGACAAAACATTGTTTTTCTCACTGACATGAAGTCAGACTCATTTTTTAAACTTTTTATGCCAGCTAAGATAACCAGAATTATTTGAGTTTGCTAAATCTCGGAATATTGTTTGCATTTTTTTTTTTTTTAGATTTAACAAACAAGCGAAAGAAAGTTTAATTTTGTGACAAAATGGGGAAAAATTGTTTGAATTTTCCCGCACAGTTTTCTCAAAATGTGTGAATAGTTTCTCAATATGAAAAGAAACGTGTTTTAGAAAAACTGCTGATATTTGTGACATTTTTCTTCATGATTTTTAACGGAAGCCCAACAGTTTGGCCTCCCGCAGGTAAAGGGCGCCCTCTGGTGGCTGCAGCTGAGACGGACGTCATCAGGGGATTGGAAATGGAAAACGTGTCAGCTTTAACAAACAAACCCTGGATTTAAAATTCAGGAGCTTCCAGAGTTGGGATGTGCTCTCTGGTCACGATGATGATGATGATGATGAGTTGGGCTGAACAAGGAAGCAGCAGCAGCGGTGGGAGGGACGGAGAGGTAAGAGGAGAGGCGTCACCTGTACGTGAAACGAACACCTGTTGCCCGGTGGGCTCTTAAAGACGCACAAGAAAAGGTTCGTGTTACACCTGGGGATCCTGGTGGTTTTTGTCGCTTAAAGGAACAAAACCTCCATTCTACTCGGTTTCAAACTGTCGCTTCAGTTGGACTGGAGGGAACGTGTAGAGGATTTATTTTTAAAGGGAATCCACCAGCGAACCACAGGTAAGGTTAAAAACACGATCAAAAGTGTTTCAATGTTGATAATTTAACCCTATTGAGCTGTGTGTGGCATGTAGACTATTTAAACTAAACTAATTAACTTTCTATGGGTTATAATGTTAGAAGAGACTTTTATATTGATATTCTTGGTTTAAATACACAAACCTCCTGTTTTTTTCTCCTTTACTAACTTGGTTAGCACTTTGAACTCATAAAGGCAAGATAAGGTGCCTGATTACTGATAAGCTGGAACATAATATCAACTCTTTCCAAATGGTTACAAAGAAATGTCGAACTAGCTAGCATTTAACGTTGGGCGAACGTTCGGACGTTAGCTAGACGTTAGCTTGATATTCTTCGATTGTTTAATGGTACGGGTGGGCGATGTGGACGTTTTATCGCGATATTTTGTGGTACTGTTGTGATAAAAGATAAACGACACCATGTCTTTTTGAATTAAAAAAAATAGTGAATGCATGACAACAATCGTACCTCACGAACATAAATACTGCTCTTAAAAATGTATACTAATTTGTAATTGGCTTCTTTAGAACGGCATAAATAAGTGTGATATGTCACTAAAATGTATTTAATCATATTTATTTGTCCGAATAAATTCGTCCGAAAGTTGGGCGGACATTAGCTAGATGCTAGCTTGATATTATTCGATTGTTTAATGGCATGGGTGGGCGAAATTTATCACGATAAATTATAAGCGACGCGATAAATGCCTACCCCATTTATTGGTACAGTATTTCATTTTGACATCTGTCTGAATGTTGTCTGCTAACAAAATGACTTTAACTCCACTTTACCAAATGACATTGTCAGTGAAACTTTTATTTGAAAAGTTTAAGTGGTATAGAGCATTCATTTTAATTCGTGGGATGTCATAAGACAATAATTAAATATAAAGGAAAAGTCAGCATTTTATAACAATAATGCTTTGTATCAGAGCTAGGCTAATTAACTCTACTTGCATATATTTTTTTTAAATTAAGTAATAAGCATCCATCAGCCCATTTAATTAAATATTTTTAAAATAATATCAGATGGACAAAAATATGTAATTTAACACAAACAATCTGTGACGTGCCTGGAAAACACTACATTTAATTACTATCATTTAACTACCTAGACATATATTTTACAGTGTTTAACTATGGTTTTATCAGGGGCTGAAACCTTTATGATGTGTTATTTGGACTTTCTGATAAACTGAACTATAAATTGTTCAATATAAAAGTTTTTTAGGTAGCAAACTTTCAAAGTAAATGCATATAAACAAAAGGTGCTTTTGGGAGATTTTTGCTTCCCAAATAAAAAAAATGTTTGCATTAATATGTATTTGTCTGTAGTGTTTAGTCTATCTTCATTTATCTTCATTTTCCAGTGTTAATTGGCAAAAATATCCATAAAGTCCCCAGATGAGCCCCGTTTAATGATTTCAGAAACCCTCTTGTCGGTTTTTATCGAGCCTCTTGACGCACCAGCTGGGCTCCCGGTTTAATGGATAATTTTTCCCTCTCACCAAGTTTACGTCATCAGAAAAACGAACTCAGTGGAAATTAATTAACCTGAGAAGGAGAAGAGCCCGTATGGTGCCTCTTGATCTGCAGCAGTACCATAAACACTTCATTTTGACAACGAAAGGAGACTGAAGTGGAATTAAATCACCAATATAACAAAGGTCACATCAGCCCATTAGCTGCTGGTGTCAAAATATTGACAGGAGCTCTTTTAAAACCTTGAGAAACTGGAATTAAGGATTTTATAAAAGCCTCACCTTGCTTCTTGGGCTATAAAACATGGCTGTTCAAATATTATTTATACAGAAAAAATGTAGTTTTAGGCATTAGCAAAGCTTTGCAGAGATGAGCTTGTGGCCTTGAGCAGTTTCATTTTTCAGTTCTCAGGATCTAAAGAAGGCGGCTCTGACTTTAAATTAAAACCAATTAATTTTTGGGTTTCTTCTCAAACACCCTTTGGCTGAAATATTAAAATCCTAATTGTAATAATCTCTTAATATTTCATGCAACAACTTTGCCTTGAATCAGTTCTGAGGTGAGTTTTGCAATGCAGATCAACAGAAAGACAATTATTTTATTCAAATGATGAGATACTGTTGTTGTCTGCGCAATACAAATGGCAAAAAGCAAATTTGTTTGTCATAAAAACAATCATTAAGGCCAAAATCATTGATTTTAGCTTCATCAGGCATAGGGAGGGGCATTTATGATTTATCATTTATCGTGATATGCTACTTATAAGAATTTTGACTTATAGTTGCCATGATGAATTTCAGTTAATATTTACACTGCAAAAACACAAAATCTTACCAAGTATTTTTGTCTACTTTCTAATTTTGTCTTATTACAATTGAAATAAGACAAAACTAACTTACAAGTAACTTCAGCTTGTTTTAAGTAAATAATTCCTTAATACTGATGAAAAAGTACTTATTCCTTTGGCAGATTATTTCACTTATGAGAAAATTTTGTTATAAGTGAAATAATCTGCCAATTGAACTAGAACTGGGTTGCTAGGTAACGGTCTGGGCTTGTCTGGGGTTGCTAGGCAACGGCGCAGTGGAATATTCTACCAATAGAACTAGAACTTTTGGCTCAAAACAAGCTTCTGTTTCTTGCTTGTGTAAGATTGTAAGTTATTTTTGTCTTATTTCAAGTGTACTAAGATATTTGAACTAGAAACTAGTCAGAAATGCTTTGATATTTTGTAATTTTTGCAGTGTAAATGCCCCCAAAACTATCCATATTATCTGGACTGTTAATTTGACTATTTTCTTCACTGTTTGTTCAAATAAAGCATCAATAAATATCAACAAATATGACTACAAGCAGTTACTGTGTGCAGCTTGATGATACAAATAAGTTTTTAATGTAACTAATGTTCTAAAGAAGCATCTTACTAATGGGAGATGTTTTCCCAAGAGCAGTATTTTAGTCACAGCCACACAGTTATCTAAAAAGATGTAATATATAGTCACGAACATATTGTAATAAAACTGTAAGTCCATGTCGCTCGCCCCAGACGAAGGTTGCAAATTGAAATCTGTTGTCTGCTTCTTTAAGCCGTCTTCTTGTCTGATTGGCCTTTCAGTTGATGTTGGTTCTCGACTCGTTTCACTGTGGATAAGGACACTATGACTAGCTTTCAGATTGATTTTTGTTTTAAGGTTTATTAAAGGTTGATAAAGAAAACACTGTAAATGGGAAAAAAATGGAGTAGCGTCAGGTTTTGTAGGATTTGTCTTTCATCTTTGGTAAAAGATCACGAGCCATTTCTCCTGCTAGCGTAGTTTGCTAGCGCACATTTGTTTTGGTTGTATTTACCCAGAATGCCCTGTGCTGCAGTCCACTTCCTGCTTCACATACGCATTCTAACAGCGCCAGAGTTCACTTCAACAAACCGAGGTTTTTAAGTGGACCAAAGTTTGCTGTTTTGAGTTCGATTATGTGTTCACACCTCCCCAAACGAACCAGACTTTCTTAGCAAAACAACTAGACTCTGATTAAAGTAGCCGACCAGACGGGGTTGGTGTGATTGCACCCTTATTGCAACAGAAAAAGAGGCAATTCGTGGCCACTGTGAAGTTACAGACTGACTTTGTGACATTGGTTTGACCTCCATATTGCTGCTCTTTACTTTGTAAGCCAGGGCTTTACAGTCACTCCATCTATGGGGTCAACAAGACATTGTGGCATTCACCTTGATTCCCAGAAGAGATGCCAAATATTTGCACTCCAAGCGTTTGTATGGCCACTAAAGTGGAACCCTCTTTATTTCGCCGGTCCTATTTTCCCCCTAAGTGCACATCAAACCGAGCCAGACGGAGAGTACCCATTGTGATGGAAGGAGCGTGTTTGGATTTATAAAAACCAGCCTTTCTGACACATGTGCAACGATGGGGAAAAAAAAATAAGATGTAGATTAACAGGGGCCAGGCTGAATAAAGTAAGCTCCAGGGGGAAAACTCTTATCACGGTAACAAAGACGAACCGAGTTGGAGCAGGGTGAATGCCAATGAAGAGCATTTTATTTTTTATTTCTTTCTTGAGAGAGATGGCTGACAGTAGATGTTCCAACATGACATTTTACAGCCTCAAACGTTCCAGTGATGGTGAGTTTGGCAAAGAATGACATGAAACTTTAAATACAAGCTGGAATAGGAAGCTATAAAAGATGAGGGAGGAATTTCAGGCCAAATTTAAAAATGTATATTTTTGACATTTTTGAGTGTTTGGCCTTTCATATGAAAAGCATGTGTTAACGTTTTGATGTTGGGCGCTGTTGGTTCTTCAGATTCGTGACTGGCAGGCAAGGTCAAATACTGAAAAGTCACTTTTCTTTTTACCTTGTCATTAAGTTCTCTCCTAAAAACAGCTTTTCAATCTGAAAATGCACATTCTTTGCTGCACTTTGGTTTGAAATTGGTAAAAATTAGCCTTGCATTCCCTTAAACTTTTTGTTGCACGCCTCAACAACTACATTGATTAAGATTTCCTTAATTTAAGGAAGGAAAATTCCTTAAAGGAACATTTTAAACCTTGTGCAAAGTTTTATTTGCACACGTTTTAGGACCCCTCCAATTTGCTCTTGCTAATATAGAGAGATTTGCTCTCGCTTATATAGCGAGAGCAAATCCTAGGAGTCCTAGGATTAAACCGTTGTCTTTACAAATTATCTGGCATCTATCTAATAAACTATTTGTGGAAAATTTGTTTTAAATTGAACTTCGCATAAATGGTTTATTAGATGCAAGTTAATTTGTAAAGAGAACTTGGAGTGCCCCAAGGTTTAATCCTTGGACCCCTCCAACTTGCTCTCGCCATTTCAGGTTATAAGAAGAAAAAGTAAGATTAGTTACCAAAACTACGCTGATGAAAAGCAGCTCTACGTTTCAATGTCATCAGGCAACTTTCTTCAGCTGTTCACATTTTTCTTTGTATTTTTTTGTAGAATGTATCTCCAAATTATTTGCAGAAAATCTTCCTATTTGTCGTTTAATTTTCATGGAGTGTGTCCGAAACAAATTAAACTAGAAGATAATTTTTCTCCACCTTTCTTATCATTCCAGGTAATCAGAAAAGCAGAGTAGGAAATAAAATCCAATCGAGTAATGAAGCAAATCTTTCATCTTTTCTTTCTCTCGCTAAAAAGAGAGAATTTGCTAATGGCAGGTTTGCATTTGGGGCATTTAGTGATCACGAAATCAGCTCCCAAAATGACAAACGGCCATAGCTTCAGTGCCTTTTCTGGCTTATCTGGTGGAGTATTTGGGTTAAAGACGATAATCCTTAAAAGCCACAGCCGTACTTTGCGCTTGGTGCTTTTCAATCCTTTTTTTTAACAGAATTGTGTCGGCACCATTAACATTTATGAAGTGAAATCTCCTGCCTAACAAATTAGCAACTCTATTAACTCAGCTTCTGCGTTGCTGCTGATTTCCACATCTTAGAAAAATAAAAAGAGGTTTTTACATCTGCTGATTCTCTGGAGTAATGAATCAAATTCTCAAACTCAGATTTTCTTTTCTTACATTTCAGCTTTAATGTTGAACAGATGTTGAATGTTTAATTTAATTAATCAGTGAAAGTACAATCTATCCACCATTGATTTAATTAAGCTAAAGAAACAAATCTAAAAAAAGACATTAACACCAGTTTCACCCTCAGTCCCTTTGCTTTCCTGATAATGGTTTTATCTGGCCCAGTTGTTTTTAAATGCTTAAATTTAAGACTTGTAGACATTACATGAAATTAAGTTAAAAATTAAATTTTAACCAGTAAATTTTCCTTTGGTATTAATAAAATATTTTTTAATATAGATTCAAAATTATGTGCAACATGAATGAATAAAAAGATAAAGTGACAATAAATATCTGGAAAGAAAATTTAAAAGCAGTTTACCGTTTAATTTATAGAAACACATTTTATAATTAAAATTTGACAATGCGATCAGGAGAGGAGGCGTCAGAGGGGCCTGATCGGCCAATCAGAGGTGGAGTCGGGAGAATGATGACATGCATAGCCAATCAACAAAATTTCCCTTTTTTGGTTTTTAAGTAATCGTCAGATTGGCCTTCAGGTTCTTTTTAGTCGCAGGAGTTTTTTGCATTGGAAGTCTCTTTAATGTTTAATCATAAATATCTGAATTAGTGAAATGTTAGTCTGGTATTTGGAGTAATTTTGGTAGACTGACCTCTTTTGAAGGTCACTACTGTGGATAGTATCTGATTGTGGTTTTCTGAAATGGATTTGTGACTTTTTCCAGGTCAATATGTCTTAGTGATTTTGTTTCTCATTTGTTTGTAACATTTTTTAAGATCCGGGCATGATATTTACTTAATGATTTTAATGAAGGGATAGCTGTTTTAAGCCTCCTTTGTGTTGTCTGACAGGTGCTTATTTAATTCACTTCCAGTCTAAGTTCAAGTTTTGAAATGAGCAAAGAATATAATTTAGCAGATTCAGTGGGAGAACACAGGAAAAAAACCCTGGTACCCTTAATGATTTTAATAATTTTTGCAAAATATAATGTTTATGTTTAATAACTAGTTACTGTATTAAGTTTTTATAGTGTGAAGCAGAGTTTAGATCCTTTAGATGAAAGGTCAAAGTTGATTCTGCTGTTATTTAACTCCATATTTCAAACTTTTGATCTTGGTTATTTCTCTTGGTTTCACCCGAGTTGTGCGTCTTTTTACCCTTTTCCAAGTGTTTTCTGCTTCTGTCTAGAGGTTAATGTCCAATCCTGTTCCTGGCAGATAGAAATGCTCCACATCCTCTGAGGAAAAGTTTAGTGCTTCGTTTTCCTTAAAGCCACCGTCTGAGTAAGAATCGATAATCTGGCATGGCGTAAAAAGAGCTGGAAGAACTTTTTCCTGCAGGGGGAACTCAATCTGATGGGAAAACATTTGTTTCCCTGATGAATCTGAGCTTCAGTCCTGATTATTCAGCCTGTCTCCTTACGCAGATGGAGAAGGCCGCAGCAGAATCCGAACAGCATGCCTGTCACTGACATTTCTATTTCAGTCAGGTGATAAATCAGCGAGAGACAAGCTGCTTTGCTTTGGGAGCTACCTGCTCATTCATTATACCTTTAAAGCGCGTGCCGGCTCCGCAGCTGTGCTGTCGGTGTCGAGACGGAGGCAGAATGCGTCTGAGGGAGACGCTCCGAGTCTCCATGGCGTCCAAACAAAGCGGCCGTGCGTTTGTTTGGCAGCTCTCACAGTTTTTAGTTCTGATTTAATGACGGAAAATGTCCTGCAGCTTAATGAGATTTTTTGTGCCTCTTATCTTTCCTCTCGCTGTGTTTGCCTCTCTGTCTGTCCCTCGTATCTTCTTTATTTTTTTATTGCTTTTTGTTTTGCCACAGACGCACAGTTCTGACCAATAAAGCTGCGAGAAACCGATTTATTTATCTGGAGCTGTCAGTTGTGTTTTCTTCTTCTTTTTCTGATGCGTCCTTACAACTTTTATGTGCAGCTGTGTATTTAAAAAAAGCAAACTGTAGCTTCATGACACATCTTTTAGTCTTTGTTGAAGCTGGCTTTTCAGAGTGATGCGTCCAGGCGTATTTGTGGAAAGTTGAGTGGAAGAAAAAGCTGTGGTGGGGCAAAAAAAAAATCTGCAAAAGGATCAAATGAAGATCTTAATAAAGCCTTATTTATAAAGTATGTTAAAAGCAACAAGTACCCAACAAAGAATTAATAAAATATATATTTATTTTTATGTGTAGTATTTTGGGCTTTTTTTTTTTTTTTTACCTTAAACTCCAACAAAAACTCCATCCAAATAGTTGCAGATGTTGATAAAATAACATAAAAAGCCAGAAAACTTGATGTTTGGTACATTAAAACCAACTAATGTTACTTTCAATACTACTAGCCGTTGTTAGCATTGTTAGCTTGCAGAATCAATGGCGCACTCTCTGGGTACTCCGGCTTCCTGGAGTCCTCAAACATGACCCTACCTTTTTCCTTCCACTCAACTTTCCATTGCAACACTCTATTATCCATTTTTATTACTCCTATTTAAAATAAAAAAATTCAGAGAAATTGAATTTTGGGTTTTCAGAAGCTGTAAGCTGCATTTGTGAAAATTAACAGGAATAAACGAATAACTGTTGGAACTAGTTTACCGTGTAAAAGTTTTGGTTTGAAATTAATTACTGACTTATTGTCGAACGCTCCAAGCTGAAGAAAGACACCAAGTGATGGACTGCCAGGCTTGGAGTTGCAGTTTTTATTTCTCCTTCTTTGCAGAAGCGTAACGTTGCGGCTTATCCTTGGCTGCCTTTGTCCACTTTAAATCAAATGCAGTTTGTTCAGCATAAAGTTTTTCTGTGACGCGGCGAGAAGTCATGCAGGTGAAGGACTGTGGATTGGTGTGTTTACGCTCCAGCTGACGGTGATGAACAGAGCGGCTGCAGATTGAGTTTTAACTTTCACATTAATTCTGGGGAAAGTCTCGTACGCCGTTTGCTGAGGCATGGGCGCGGGTTGAACGGAGCACGGAGACTGTTGACAGCCGCCGTAATTGTTTTGCACCGGTTCAGACTTTGCCCCGGCCCTAAAGATGAAGACGGCCATAAAAACTGGAGTGAGAGTGGGAGTGGCGACAGAAAATGGGATCTGCACGGCCGCTGCCGGGGCCGTGGACTGTGACTGCTCACAGTCAGGAGGTGGAGAAATCATTGAGAATGTGACAAGCTGATCGTTCACATTTATCTGACTTTAACGCATGTTTATGGCGACTGATTTTAAGATGCTGTCCTAAACTAAAAACAAACAAAACGCTGAATTTGACACCTTAAATTGACCTGCCTGGTTCAAGTCTTACTCTAGTTCAGTTCCTCTTACCCAACGGGGTGAACATTTATCATGATGAATTTCTTATCTTGGGTATTTCTGTCGTTATTATAATAAATTCTAATTAATGATGATCAACCCACCCAAGAACTGTCCTTTTTGTTCAGTTTTTCTTTGTTTTTTGTTTTTTTTGCACAAAAAAGACAAACACTGTCCTTTTTGTTTTATTCGAAAATCAGACTTATTATTTTTCTAAATTTCCATTCTGATCCAATATTGAGTAAAATTGAAGCTGGTATTGTTGATACCAATTCAACACCAGTACTTTGTTGAAAACATTTAGTTTGCCTGTTAAATAGACACAACTAAGATTTTCACCAGACCAAAAATACTTGGTAAAATTGAGTGTTATTGCAGTGCAGGAGCCTGAAAACCAACATCAGCTTCTAACTTTGCAGTAGGAGCTGAAACAGCTGGTGGTTGGACCTTTCATAGTGGGAACAGCTGCAGCTTTTATTTTTCTAACAACATCACAAATATTCAGGGTGTGTGACAAATGTGTGCAAAGCTTTGGTGTGTCCCAATCTAGACGGAATGAAAGAATGTTTTAAATTAAAAATTCATCTCAAACATTGAAGCAAAGCTGAACCGTTTGTTGGACTTTATTGATACGGTTGTCCTTGACTGCAAAGCCTTCAGCCAAAGACCTTTAAAGAAAACACGTGACTCCAGAGATTTATTTGGCATTTATACCATTAGGGTGTATAAAAAGGAGAGTCAGGCCAGGCTCTCTGGCTGCAGAAGCTGCTGTTCCCATTTGTGTAATGATATGGGATGAGTTCCAGTTATTGGAAAACTATAGAAAAACCCAGAGTTCTCTTCTCTCCCCTTCCTGTAAAACGATGACAGAACTGACAGCTCGGTTAGAGTCTTCTTAGGTTGGAACGCTGTCACAGATGGCTGTCATCTTATGTGCAGCCAAGGAAGTAATGGGAATGTGACAATTGTGTGTCTTTTGCCAACAGGCTGAACATGCTGCAGGTTGTTTGACTGACAGATATGGGGTCAGGAAGATCACACTGGCAGACTTTCGCTGCAGTTGTACTCATTTGCCACTTTTGTAAGTATCTCTTTATTGATTCCAGTGGAAATATTGTAGATATAATACCTGAGTGTCCCAAACTGGCCTCTCATTTTGCTGCTTATAAACATTTTAGTGACCACTGATGGTGGGAAGTCAGAGGTCCGTGGAAAGGTTGGAGGCTCGGTGGATCTGGAGTGCAGTTTTCCACCAGCAGGGCGGCAGTCTGGGTCATCTGCAACCCAACATGTGGTGGAATGGGTGCGGCAAGGCGTAGACATTCCTGTCCTGATGAAATTTGGATCCTACACACCCCGAGTCCATCCACATTTTGAAGGTGAGTGGCACTTATTAAAGTAATTTGGACAATAGACGCATAACGAATATTAGAAAACTGCTGATAAAGTTTTCAGACTGAACATCTGAACCTCATCTTGGGCTGAAGAAACGGCAATCCTGCATGAGAGACGAGGTTTAATGTGGTAGAGAAGAGAAAAGTTCAGAACCAACAAGTTTAATATAGTGTTGCAACATGCTAACAGTTGCTTGGTGCTAGCATGTTAGATAAAACTTACTACTGCACTGTTGTTAGCTGCTAGCATTAGCTGTAGTGTTAAAGTTGGTATGTTATTGTTTACATCGGGTAATTTTGTGCATGCGCTTGATGTTGGAGGGTGAAAAGACGATTCTTTCACATGCCGTCCAAAGCTACGCTAGTAGAACAACTAAATGAAACCTAGAGATGTAGGGATTATTCATTTAATGCAGTGTGCCACAGCAAAGGGAAAAGTAATGCAGAAAAACCATTAAAGAATAACTGAAAACCCCTGTTTTCTCTCTCTCTGTTTGCTATACTACACACAGACTCATTGCCATAGCAACTGACAACAACTTTGTTTCAGGATTCAACATTTTAAAAAAATACTCAAACATTTCCCACAAAGAACAGAGCATTCAGTCAGTTACAGTTTATGTGTTTAGGCTTGATGTTTATTTTGCGATTATCAATAAGTGATCGCTGTGGTAGATTAGCTTCCGCTGCTATTAGCTAAGCTAACACAGCGGTGGTTGATTAGCTAATTTAAATACCTGATGATCTGTCAGAGTTGGTGTTTAAGTTGCCTTTTTTTAATTTCAACTGAAATGAAACATACAGAATTACACCACTCCTCTTCATGTCACATTTGTCATAGTCAAGCTAGCATAACTAGCCTACTTGACAATTGGTAGCAAAGCACTGCGTTCCTTTTTCTTTTACATATCATTCATTTAAGATTTAGTGCGTCATGTTTACAACTTAACTAAAGTTAAAACCAATGGTAGCCATCGTCACGTTGCAACGGGTCCATATTAGTTGCTAACTGGTAGCACTAGCATGTAGCTATCTGTAATGCTAGCACCTTACGGTGGACCTCTATTTATTTACGGGTTAGTTCCCTGTGTGCTAATGGTTGTTTTTTTTGTTTTTAGAAAATTAATTAATTAATAATTTCCTAATAAACGTCAATATGAACATTTTAGCTTTTAGAACATTTTTTATTTACTTCTCAGATATTTACATTCTGCTTTAATATAACAGGGTGACTCTTTACCAACCAGATGGAGACTTTGTACTTTATGCAAACAATTCAGAAATAAATCTTAAGATTTGTCAGCCATATAATGCATAGAATTATGGAATTAAATTAAACTTTTGTGTGATATTCTAACTTTTAGAGATGCACCTGTTTGAGGAAGTGTGGCTTAGTTGGAGGGTTTTAAACTGTATTGCAATTGACTGCCCTTTAAAAACAACCTGTGGACATGTTTTGAAATTTGAAGAATGGTTTTTGTAATCTCCATAGGCAGTTTTAGAAACTGAAATTTATGCACGACTGTAAAAGCGGCCATAAACCCTTGTACAGAAAAACCTTCGGTTCCCTGAGGAAAGTTTTTCTGTTTGCCAGCACGCTGATGTCTGCACTTAGCACCATGCTTGAAATATAATTATTCCTGCCAGCATTATTATGTTTGTCTGTGAAAATGTTCTCTCATTAAAGGCAATAAAGGCGGTGAAGTGAGTGCGCGTCTGGCTGGAGTCAAAAACGAAACGAGACTCTTGTTCTCGGATTTCATTCTGCGCCACACCTTGGTGGCCTTTCAAACAAACTCTGGCATTGCATCACCGCTTATTGTTCACGATCGAAGCCGCGGCACGGTGAACAAAGACAGTCGGAGGTGAAAAAAGAGCCTCAATGGGCGAGGGCTGCCTTTGTTTGGCTTTAAAGTCACAAACAACGGGACAAATGTGGACAAAGAGAGAGCTTGTCTGGGTGGCTCAGAACTTCGCTTTTGTTCAGGTCCAGTTTTTTGCGCCTTGGAGATTCCTGTGGAGATTTTCACTCTGAACTTGTGCAGGGTTTTTGTTTTGGATATCCTACAAAAACACAAATCTTACCAAGTATTTTTGGTCTAGTTTCTAGTGCAAAT